CGCGGGGGCCGCTGCCGGCAACCCGGGGCCAAGAAAAAATCCAATGCGGAAACCTACCCCAGGGAAACGGTCGGGACCACGTCGGGGCCGCGGATCGACAAATCAGATCGGTGGATGTCAGGGGGCCCCGATTTTCGAACATGTCCGTCGGCTCTGGGCGATTTTCATCGCCCCTAAATCGTGCACCGGTTTGGGGGGCAGGAAAAACTCTAGGAAGACTCAAGTGGCCTCGTCGCTTGCTGGCCTCTGTGGCCTCAGTGGCAGTGTGCTGACTACCTGCATGGCGGTGCCCCCGTGGCGCAGCGGATCGTTGGTTTTCGCTGTGCCTACAGCCGGTGGCCGCGCGCGGCTGGCGGATCTGGGCGCGGGGATGCTACGCCGCTTACTTTCCTCCCCCCTCCCAGCGCGACTGCGCGGGGATAGCCGCGCCTGCAGGCGGTGGCGGTGCTGCCCCTGTGCGGGTCGTCGGGTGCTTGCGCGCCTGCCCGTGCTCTCGGGCGCTCGGGGTGCTGCTGGTGCTCTTCGTCGCCACTGCCCCTCCTCGTCGCCTTCCTGTCTCCTGTCCGTGCTCTCTGGCGCTCGGTGTGCTGCTGGTGCTCCTCGTCGCCACGGCCCCTCCTCGTCGCCACCGTGGCTCCCGTGGCCACTGCCGCTCCTGGGTTTTCGCTCCCGCATAACGGTCTGCGCGGTGCAGGTTGCTTTGTCACAAACCCACTGCCACCCTGTTGTTGTCTGGCGCTGTGTCGCGGGTGCGGCGTCCCTGCCAGGCTGGGCCCTTGGAGTAGTCCAGTCGGGCCCTGCCTGGCGGCGCCAGTTGTCTCTCCGCCCAACGCGGGCGCGGGGACGCCGATCCGCGCGTTCTGTGCGTAGCCGCACGCAGAGATTTTCTGGCTTCGGGGTGCTATCCAGCAGCTGCGCCTCGCCGACTGCGCTCTGGGCAACTTTGTCGGCTCTGGGCGGCTTTCTTGCCTTAGGATGCTCTCCAGTAGCTGCGCTTCGCCAAAAACCAGATCGTCCCGAACGGCCGCCAGAGACCCGAGCTACGGCCCGACAGCCCGAACCAGACCTTCCCTCGCTGCGCACAACACGCGCGTCGGAAGGTTCTCGATAACTGGCATTTTTCGGCCTCCTGGTGCCCCTGCTGGCCCCGGGGTCGTCCGAAAACGACTAGGGGTAAGCAGCTGGCTCTGGAGAAAGGGTCCACGCACCTCCACGGAACCACCCTGCGACCAGAAGAACGACGTCGGAGGTCTGGGGAAGAACCCTGACATCCGCGGGCGTGATTTGTTCCAATCCGCGGCCCCAGAGGTCCCGACCCTTCCCTCGAGGGCATTTTTTCATCCTGGATCCGTTTTTGATCGTGCCGGCCCCAGAGAGGCGAAATCGAGGAAAAACCGTCGGTTGGAAAACTCATGTCGTCGAGTATCAGGATCGGAAGCCTGAGGAGGTGCAGAAGAGCCCACAACGCCGTCGCCTCTGACTTCGGTTCCGCCGTACGTTGGGCGATTTCGTATCCGCCTCACTTTTTTTCTGAGGCAGGCATTATTGCCCTACTTCTTCGCATCGTTCGCGGTACATGTCCAGCACAGGTTTGACTGGAGAATCTACCGCAACACGGCGGATCCGAAGGCAGGTCATGATTTGTTCGATCCTGGCGATTTTTGTCGATTCGGGCGCCTGGAGCCCGTCATCAGGCCCAGCACCATGAAAAGCAGACCCCGGGCAAAAAACTGCGCCCGAGAAAGGCGGGACCTCTGGGGTCGCGGTGGTGGTGGTGGTCACTGCATGAGGGAAACAAGTCCCGAGCAGAGCAACACGCACCACGACCATGTTGACGCCGATGACAGCGACGACGGAGACAAGGCGCGCAGACGACCCGCACCGAAGCACGGATTTGGAAAAGGGCCCACCCTGCATTTTCGGTCAAACAGCTTTTGTTGAACGGTGCTGCAGCCTCCCTTGAGCACAGACACCCCAGAGCATCAGCCAGACAAGTCGGGCTGCGGATGGAAAAACACGGCGGCGGCACTCTCACGCAGCGGAGCTGCGGCGAGCGGGCGGGGGCGGCCGGGCTGAGGGACAGCCTCTGGTAGCCGTCGCGGGTCGGCATCGCGATGCACACAGGGGCGGGGCCAGCAGCCGCAGTGCGGGCGAAGCCCGGCTCAGGGGCGGCGGACGGCGGCCCTCGGCGGCCCCAGGCGGCCCCAGGCGGCCCTCGGCGGACATCAGGGGCGGCCCCCGGCGGACCTCGAAGACCCAAAGGCGGCCGTCGGCCGCCGTCGTCGTCGTCGTCGTCACCGTCGTCGTCGTCGTCGTCGTCGTCGTCGTCGTCGTCGACGTCGTCGTCGTCGTCGTCATCGTAAGCCGCCGTCGTCGTCGTCATCGTAAGCCGCCGTCGTCGTCGTCGTCGTCGTCGTCGTCGGAAGCCGCCGTCGTCGTCGTCGTCGCCGTCGTTGTCGTCGTCGTCATCGTCGTCGTCGGAAGCTTCCGTCGTCGGCGT